ATGACACCCAAAGCTCTGTTCAACTTGGCCTTGAACACTGCCAGGAATGGAGCATTCACAACCTCCCTGGGCAATCCATTCCAGTGCCTCACCACCCTAACAGGAAAGAATTTCCTTCTTATACCCAATCTAAACTTCCCCTGTTTAAGTTTTAACCCATTGCCCCTTGTCCTGTCACTACAGTCTCTAATGAAGAGTCTATCCCAGCATATAGCCCCCCTTCAGATACTGGAAGGCTGCTATGAGGTCTCCACACAGCCTTCTCTTCTCCAGCCTGAACAGCCCCAACTTTCTCAGCCTATCTTCATACAGAAGGTGCTCCAGTCCCCTGATTATCCTTGTGGCCCTCCTCTGGACTTGTTCCAACAGTTCCATATCCTTTTTATGCTGAGGACACCAGAACTGCACACAATACTCCAGGTGAGGTCTCATGAGAGCAGAGTAGAGGGGCAGGATCACCTCCTTCGACCTGATGATCACGCTCCTTTTGATGCAGCCCAGGATATGGTTGGCTTTCTGGGCTGCAAGCGCACACTGAAGCCGGCTCATGTTCATTTTCTCATCAACCAACACCCCCAAGTCCTTCTCCGCAGGGCTGCTCTGAATCTCTTCTCTGCCCAACCTGTAGCTGTGCCTGGGATTGTTCCGACCCAGGTGCAGGACCTTGCACTTGTCATGGTTAAACTTCATGAGGTTGGCATCAGCGTGTCAAGGTCCCTCTGGATGGCATTCCTTCCCTCCAGGGTATCAATCAAACCACACAGCTTGGTGTCATCAGCAAACTTGCTGAGGGTGCACTCAATCCCACTGTCCATGTCAGCGACGATGATGTTAAACAAGACCAGTTCCAACACCGATCCCTGAGGGACACCACTCATTACTGATCTCCAGCTGGACATTGAACCATTGACCGCAACTCTTTGCATGAGGCCATCCAGTACTTCCCATTCCCAATAACTCACTTCTGCTGGATGGTTTCTCAGGATGAGTCACCTCTCAGTACCGCATGTCAAAGCCTGCCTACACTCCAAGCAATAAGTTGTTTTTTTTTGTGGCAGGGTAGTCCTTAGGAAGACAGACATGTGCTGTGTTGAGCAGGGTTCCTGATGAGATGTTACTTCCACCACCAGTTCCTCCTCCTCCTGGTGAGCGGAAACGATTTGCCGACAAGAGAAATATGTGCGAGAAGCCAGGCTTCTCGTCCTCAGCTGCTGCTTTTGAGCTTCTACACAAAATCCACCTGAGGCTGCTGCACACGTGACATGTTCACTGAGATATAAATTTGACAGAATTACTAGTATTTCTCTGATTTTGTAATTAAAGTACATGTGTTAATGATTACACAGGAAATTCAGCTTTTTAAAAATTCTCCATAAAAGGCTTTGCAAATGAAAGAATGGTAGGGTCTAATTGCAAGAATGTATCAGGTTTGCTGTCTCGGGGAACAGATGGGAAGAGGCAGGAAGGGCTGACAGTGTCCTCAGGGTCCTAACAAAGGAGGCAAGAAGGTGCCAAAATGTGATTGGAGGTAGAAAGTGATAACCGGTTAAAAGCACCTTCCTCTTGCACCAGCCAAGTCTTGTCCTATGCCTTTAGGCATAATTATAAGGCAAAAGTCTGCTTAACCTGGCATTCAGCAGACACACATTTTTCCTGGTTGTGCTAGTCTGGTCCTTTTGCCTTAGCTGTTCTTTAGGCAGCATGTCACAGTTTCCTTGGAGAAGTGTGTAAAAGGAGCAGCAGCATTTAGGGGAGCATGTCACTCCAGTCTTCAAAAAGGGCAAGAAAGAGGACCCGGGTAACTATAGACCGGTCAGCCTCACCTCCGTTCCTGGGAAAGTGATGGAACACCTTATCCTTGGTGCCATCTTAAGGCATATCAAGGATAAGAGGGTTATGAGGGGCAGTCAACATGGCTTCACCAGGGGGAAATCATGTTTGACCAATCTCTTAGCCTTTTATGAGGAGATAACACGGTGGATGGATGATGGCAGAGCGGTGGATGTAGTCTACCTTGACTTCAGCAAAGCATTTGACACAGTCTCCCAAAGCATCCTCACAGCTAAATTGAGGAAGTGTGGACTGGATGATCAGGTAGTGAGGTGGACTGCGAACTGACTGAAGGAGAGAAGCCAGAAAGTTGTAGTCTATGGGGCTGAGTCTAGTTGGAGGCCTGTAACTAGTGGAGTGCCTCAAGGGTCAGTACTGGGACCAGTATTATTTAATATATTCATCAACGATTTAGATGAGGGAATTGAGTGTACTCTCAGCAAGCTTGCTGATGACACTAAGCTGGGAGGAGTGGCTGACACGCCAGAAGGCTGTGCTGCCATCCAGCGAGACCTGGCCAGGCTGGAGAGTTGGGCAGGGAATAACTTGATTAAATATAACAAGGGAAAGTGTAGAGTCCTGCATCTGGGCAGGAACAACCCCAGGTTCCAGTATAGGTTGGGAAACGACCTGTTAGAGAGCAGTGTAGGGGAGAGGGACCTGGGGGTCCTAGTGGACGACAGGATGACCATGAGCCAACACTGTGCCCTTGTGGCTAAGAAGGCCAATGGCATCCTGGGGTGTATTAGAAGGGGGGTGGTTAGTAGGTCGAGAGAGGTCCTCCTTCCCCTGTACTCTGCCCTGGTGAGACCCCATCTGGAATATTGTGTCCAGTTCTGGGCCCCTCAGTTCAAGAAGGACAGGGAGCTGCTGGAGAGAGTCCAGCGCAGGGCAACGAAGATGATTAAGGGATTGGAGCATCTCCCTTATGAGGAAAGACTGTGGGAGCTGGGTCTCTATAGTTTGGAGGAGACTGAGGGGTGACCTTATAAGTGTCTATAAATATATAAAGGGGGAGTGTCACGAGGATGGAGCCAGGCTCTACTCGGTGGCAAACAATGATAGGACAAGGGGTAATGGGTACAAACTGGAACACAAGAGGTTCCACTTAAACTTGAGAAGAAACTTCTTCTCAGTGAGGGTGACGGAACACTGGAACAGGCTGCCCAGGGAGGTTGTGGAGTCTCCTTCCCTGGAGACATTCAAAACCCGCCTGGACACATTCCTGTGTAACATTATCTAGGTGTTCCTGCTCCGGCAGGGGGATTGGACTAGATGATCTTTCGAGGTCCCTTCCAATCTCTAGCATACTGTGATACTGTGCCAGCAGCCGCTGCATGCAGTGAGGCAGGAGGCAAGGCAGCATTTCTGCAGTAAGAGACCAAGCAGCCTGTGAATGTCAACTAAGGCTGCAAATAATGAAGATGTCACTGAAAGAATTATTTTCCCAAGAAAAGGTTACAGGAATCTTTCATAATATGAACTGGTAGGTAATTTGCTAACGATATCTTTCAAGTTTTACTTCATTCTTTTCCTGATGATGGTGTCAGTGACAGAACTTCTGTAACTGCAGCACCATATTCTTGTTATGGTTGCGTAATTTCCTTTCTTAAATGCCAGTGAACTGAGCCACCCTGGTCTGACCATAGGTTTACAGCATGGGATCCATGTAAAATTAGCAACTACAGAAAACATATTTGGATTGACAAAAATCCTGAAAAACAAATGAATGACTTTTTTTTTTCTTTTTTAATGCAGTTTTGCAAAGCAGTTTTCAACAGCTCATGCCTGAGGTATTTCCTCAAAATATCAGCATAGCTAATCTGCTACATGTTAACCTTGAAACATGCACATTACCTAATGCTTAAACACTGTAAATTAAGATTCAATTCAGTTGACATAAAACTATCACTCTACCCCAAAAATGTAAATAGTTATTTGCTTTTGGAGACTTAAACTTTCTTAATTATCTGGAATGATTTATACTGAATACTATAATCAACAGAATTAAATAAGAAACTCATCTACTGACAGAGCTACAAAACCTGCCTGGAGCCTGTGATAAACATTTAGAGTCAAGCTCTGATTTGCGTCTTGAGGAAAATGCACAAGCAATAAAACTAGATTCAAATGCAAGTTGTTATAACAACCTAATACTGCGGCCAAATTCTGTATGTGATAAAAGAAATGCCTGAGTTTGGTGGCACACTTACTGAAGTTGCAACAACTTATTCTGTCCTTGGTAACAAGAAACTTCAGTCAAAACCTAAATTAATAAAACCAACATTGTTTAAACATTCTTAAAACTGTAAACACATGTAAGTGTAGGTCATTTACAGCTTTCCAATCAGGTTGCTAAGCAGAAGGAGAAACAGCAGTATAGATCAGGACTGTATATGAAAGGGTGATAAACTTGCGAGTAAAAGACCCCAGGAATTCTTCACATATGGCAATAATCTACTTCAGCACAGAAAATATTGGCAATGCTCTACCTACATAGGTGTAGTATTAGTTGTGTCTCACTAGATATTAAAGGACCAAGGAAAACCAAAGGGATGCACCAATCATGATTTTTCACTTTAGCGTAAGAAATGGGACTAACCACTGTAAGCAATTATATTAGTCATCTACAAACAAATTAGGAAACGTGTTTCATATGCTGAAACATAGGTGTTTAAGAACATCTCTGACATTGTGGGGAATCTGCTTTGACATTCATCCCACATGCTGTTTTATAAGGACATATTTCTTTTTATAAGAAAATGTACCTTGTAAAACAAATCCAATGTTGTATTTTTCTGCTTCTTACAGAAGCAGAAAGGCACACTATGTACTTATATTTACATAACCGAATGCTGCCCTAGTTGTCATTTCCTGACTAAATCAATCAAAACCAATAAACATTTATATGTCATTATTTCTTACCCAAGAACAAATACCAGAATAACCCTATAGTTTAGAAATGCCAGATTTTCTGCATGGACTATAAAGATATGAAAACAAATTTCTTGCAGAGTTAAAGGCTAAATCCTATCCTACATAATGATATAAATTTTACCCCAAACAGCCAGCAAAGTTTTTTCCTGATTACTTTGAATCCCTCTATCATCTATTCAACAGTGCCCTTCACCAGGACTAAAATTTTACAGGAAAAACTGCAAGATGTTTACCCATACTTCATTCAGCAAACAGATCCAAACACTCCAGCTTTCTTCCCCTTTTACCATCCACTTTTAATAAACCAGAAGCACTTGCCTAAACAGAGATCCCTCTCAGGGATGTTGTAGAATGTAAGTATGCTTGCAACATGCTGAGAGACCTGTCTGTGTCTGGTTGTTCTCACCAAGCTGTGGTTTGGAGTCACATCCCATAGCAGGAGAGCAGGTTTTCCCAGTGTGACCTCTGTCAGGGAGGAAGCCACAAATGTGACATCTGTGACATTCAGCATTGATACCCGCTGCCAGCTCCTGCAAAGTGCCAGAGCCATCACACAGTGCTCCAGTGTCATCAGACCCTAGACATCAGGCTGTTTGAGGTATGTTACTGTCCTGGGTTCAACTGTAACAATTATTTTTCTCCTTCCTAGTAGCTGGTGCAGTGCTGTGTTTCAGTTTTAGTCTGTGGACAATGCTGATAACACACTCATGTCTTAGTTGTTGCTCAGTAGTGCTTACTCCAGTAAGGGACTTTTCAGTCTCTCATGCTCAGCCAGTGAGGATGGGCACAAGAAGCCGGAAAGGAGCAGAGACCTGACCCAAACTAGCGAAAGAGGTATTCCATATCACAGCACGTCATGCCCAGTATATAAACTGAGGAGAGTCATCCAGAAGGCCCAGATTGCTGCACGGATCAGGCTGGGTATTGGTTGGTGGGTAGTGATCAATTATATTGTGCATCACTGGTATTTATTGGATTGTTGGGTTTTTTCCTTCCCTTTCATATTCTCTCCCCTTGTTACTTCCCTTATCACTGTTAGTAGTAGTAGTTTTGCATTATACTTGAGTTATTGGACTGTTCTTATCTCAGCCTGTGGGATTTACATGCTTTTGATTCTCCTTCCTCACCCCCGGGGGGGAAGGGGGTGGGGTGGGGGTGGGGAGGGGTGGAGTGAGCAAGTGGCTGTGTGATTCTGAGTTACCATGACAGTTACCTGTACCCAGGTTGAGAGCCCTGTGGTGCAAGTCAAACAGGGATGAGATTTAGCATTGGACATGTATCTTACAGCTAAGGTGGTAATGAAATCACAGAAAACTAGTAATAGCACAGAAAACTACAGAATAGTAATAATAAGAAAATGGCTTTTTAGCATCTTAGCTTTCAGACTTCAGTCTTTTAAAATGTATTTCAGACTCCAAATAATAATTGAGATAATAAACCAAGGAAGCTATAAAACATGCACATATGCAGATTATAAGTTTGTTTGGTTGTGTTTTTTCTTTTTCAATGTAAATAGCAGATCAATTTTTAGGATGAATGGTAGCAAATCAATTTTCTGACAACAGCTCTCTAGTTCAAATTTTATTTTTTATATTTGCTGAGACACTTAGTTCCCTCGCCACCACATCTTCACAGACCAACGTCATGGCAGGATAGCATGTCATGTAATGATTTTAATAACATTTATTCATGAGGTGGTTACTCCTCCCAGCTTCTGCCTCAGGGTCTGGAAGAACACCATGTAGATCATTATCAGACACACTGAGAAGTCAATGAGGCAGATACAGTGTGTAGATTAAAGAAAAACAACATTAACTCTTCTGAAACCTTTTAAAACCCATTTATAAGCTTATTTAATACTAAACTTCAATAAATAGTGCATATTGTTTCAAATTATATGTAAAACAAATTCTGTGTCATATGAGGTCATTTTGGGACTGGGATATTGAGCAAAAAAGAAAAATCTAACAACAACCAAAAATGAAGAAGGAAAAAAAGGAAAAATATTACGTGAACTTCCATAGTAAATTCTTAAAATGTTTCCTAAGACTCTATGTATTTATTAATGTAAAAATATATATTTATCCAAAGTAATAATATTTTGTAAGAATTTGTGTTAGATATTTTAAGCTATCTTTATATATTGATATATTAATGCATATATTTTCTTAAAAGGTAACATGGGTAGAAAAAGTTCAACGAAAAGGAAAAAGATATTTCTTGTATTCTCCACTTTAGCCACAGAGAGATATGTATTTATCTGTAAAAATGACCTTCTTTTCTCTAAGGAAGTTAAAATTACTGTTTAGAAGCATAAACAGCCTTTCCCATACGTACCTAAATGTGGCATGCATATACACACTTTATGCATATATTACCATAAATATTATATTACTGAGTAGTATATTTTCCGAACTACAGAGCAAGGAAAAATTGCTAAGAAAAGGACCAAAATTAGATGAACATTTGACTACATCTTCATGACAAAACTCTCAGAAGGTAAAGCTATGGCTCTGTATCAGTATGTTTGATCTGGTCAGGGGATTTTTTTTATTAGGAGATATGCAAGGGAACCTATCACACATTTCCAAATATACTTTTCAGTTTTTATGTCTTGGGAAAATTGAACTTTCTGTCTAATCAGTTTTTGGGGAAGTAAACTGGAAACAAAACCAAACAAAACTCCACACTTTGCTGTCAGCATAGTTCATTCATCTGGCATGAGACAAATAAATTGCCCAGGTTTTAAATGATCATTAACTATGTTATGTGTCTCACAAGGTTATGGACATCTTTGTGTAGCACGTTAGATAACTGTTTATAGAACTCTAATTTTTTCCAGCTTTGATCAAAAGAATTTTTTCCATGTGTGTTTCCTTTTTCCTTGACTTGGATTAGGTTACACTTGTCAGAGCTGAAAACAAAAGATTCCTATGTTTCTGTGCATGAGAATAGCAAAGGTATCTGCTTCTGGTATTTCCTAATGAAAAAAGATCTGATCAGCCACCTCAGAGAATGGTCCATGGAATGTTTTTTTCTGAGCAGGCTAGATGCTGAAGGAGCATTCAGATTCTCCTACCCTGAAGGCTGAAAAGTCTGTTTGTTATGCAATGCTTGGATGTGGGAGAAGCAAGCTGATGTCATCTGGTTGTTAACTAGTATTATGGCAACCTAATCTATCTGAATGAAGAGCATCGTGTTGCTCTATAAGCCATTTCGTGAACAAGGCTGGGTCAAATACAAAACAAGTATAATAATTGCTACCCTCACCCATATTAAAATTATTTTAGTCAAGACAAGAAAATCTACAAAGAGATTAAACCAAGCAACCACAAAAGGGCTCCAACATTGGATGAAGCTTTAGTTTCAAAACTTTAATGTGCCAGAAGCTGAATTAATCAAATCTACAAACAACATAAGTGAAATCACCTAACATTTGGCAAATACAATTTAGGCTTTGAGTTGGCCTAGAAAGCAAAGTACAGACACAGAGAACAAAGAGTGAAGCAAAGCCAGTGTGGCATCTGCCAAAGTATCACATTAACTTTTATGGTCAACATACACCATTACTGTGCTTTAGTGGAAACTAGCTGAAAACTGCAGCACAAAAGACTTCCAACAACAGAAAAGATTACCAGACACTCCAGCCAATAAGCCAGCTTCACTGAGGGCCCAACTTAAATGCTTCTATGCATGTAGCATTGGGAACAAGCAGGAGGAGACAGTAACATGCACATGCCTGAAGGCGAACAACCTTATTTGCATCAGAGACCTGATGGGACAACTCCTGATTGATGACTAGACTGTCAGAACAGAATGATACTGGCTCTTCAGGTAAGACAGGCTGGGGAGAAGAGGAAGAGGTGTCATTCTTTATGTCAGTAACCAGCTGGCATGCACAGAGGGTGGTGAGACACTGGAACAGGTTGTCCAGGGAAGTTGTGGATGCCCTATCCCTGGAAGTGTTTAAGGCCGGGTTGGATGGGTCTTTGAGCAACCTGGTTTATAGTGGAGGGTATCCCTGCCTGTGGCACGAGGTTTGGAACCAAATGATCTTTAAAGTTCCTTCCTTCCCAAACAAATATGACTACTTTGTCCTGCAATGTAGCAGTAGAGATGGGTAGCCAAACACGTCAAAATATTTGCAAGAAACATTACTATGAGCTATACATAATATAATACATATCCACTAAGGGAAAGGCTGCTAAAAAAAAAACCATCAATCTTACTGATTTCACAGATTTTCTTCAGGAAAAACATAGAATTAGAAATCTAGGAAATAACTCAATCTGAAGTAATAATTTAGAGAAATATTTTACATGCCCTAAACTCTTCCTGGTGGTATGAGCTAAGTGGAAGATCTCAAATTGTAAAACAAAATTTATTCGCTGATTATGACTACAGTGCCAAATTCTCCTGTAGGTTACTGGTAGATAAGAAATAAAAAGGGGGTTGTGGGGGGAAATGGGTAGGGAGAAGGAGGCCTTTCTCTGAATATTTTCCAGTTAATATGATACCAAATTATTTCAATGCCACCGGGTCACATAAGCACTCTTGTGTGTCAGTATCATACTTGTTGCTCCATTTGTGTTTTCATTTGTACTGAACAAATATAAACCTCTTGTATTTCTTAATATAACTTCATAGTCTAGAATGCACAAGTAAAAAGTGTTACTATCATGTGTTAGCCTAAGAAGGTTAGGTGCAGCCATCTACAACATCAAGAGCTGCTCTTCTCAACCACAGCAATACATAAATAAAAGTTGCTACTGTTTTCTTCTATCTTATAGAAATCAACAAAAGCAATGAAGGGCCAAAGTAGCCAGGATCCATCTGAAACTTGGCGGTTTTCATCCCAGTAAACTTCAGAACTAGTGTCAAGTGTTTTTCTGAGAAATCATAAACTTTCCACTTTCTACAAAACCAGATGATGACTCTAAAACTGCCTCCTACCCATCTGTTCATTCAGCTGCTATGTGGCATCCTACTCCCCATTTTTTTTTTTAATCTTTTTATATAAAATGCAAATTTTCAGGTCAGGAACATGCAATATTTAAAATAAAAACAACCTTAGGCTTGAAAAATGTACTGACTCTCAGCAAACTGTTCTTCATTTAGGTGTCCAAAGATATAAGCAGAGTAAGTTAATTTGCCATCCATGATGAATTACTGAAAACATCAGCAAAGAGCAATTACTGTATGCCTGAACTTAATTTGGCTTCAAGTTAGAAATACGATACTTTATGTAAGCTACCTCAGGGAATATATGCCATCAAAGAACAATGAAAAATGTTAAATATTTTGTGGGTAGAATTCACTGATAGAACAGCTTCCCAAGAGAACATATGCAAGCTTTTAGGCATTGTCTGAACATTAAGAACTTGGCAGTATTTTCAGATCCCACCATGAGAATGCTTATCTTACCCATCAT